TCTCTCTTCCTCCCCTCTACTCCTCCTCCTCTTCTTCCTCCCCCTCTCCTCAAACCTCCTCCTCCTCCTCCTCTCGTCTCCCTCTCCTCCCCCTCCCCCTCCTCCTTCTCCTCCTCGTCCTCCTCTTTCCTCCTCGTCCTCGTCCTCGTCCTCGTACTCCTCCTCCTTCTCCTCCTCCTCCTCCTCCTCCTCCTCCTCCTTCTCCTTCTCCTTTTCCTCCTCGTCGCTCCATGTTCCGCGATAGCGGCCGTCACCAGCGCCGCCCCCCCCCTAGGTGGCGTCAGGTTTCGCGCCGGCGGCGTCCGGGAATGTCTAGGGATGACCGAATCCAAGCAGGAGCAGCATGTCGGTGGCGATGTGCACCATAGCGCTTGTGTGCACCACAGTGCTCGCGTGCACCACAGCGCGCGTGCACACCACAGCGCGTGCGTACACCGCAACGCAACGCCGTGTACGCCACAGTGCTTGCGTTCACCACAGCGCCTGTGTACACCACAGCGAACGTGTACACTGCAGCAGCCGCGTGCAACACAGCGCTGGTGCACACCACAACGCCTGCGCGCACAAGACAAGTAGTTAAATCATGTAGGTGAGGCTTGCTGCGGACAGCTGAACACCACGCAAGGGTAGTGTTGATAAGCTAATGCGATGTTTTTCCTTCCTTCTTCCTCATCCTCCTCCTCCTCCTCTTCCTCCTTGTTTCCGTCGTGCGGGCCGGAGCATCAGCGGACGTGCGCATCTTAGTGTGCACTGCAGAATGGGAATGGGCAAGAAAAAGGCAAGCGCTCGTGCCATGAAACGCCATGGTACCATGCTACAGCGCCCCCATGCCACAGCGCCTCCAACTGCACTGCATCCACCCTGTCCCACGCCTCAAACAAACTGCTTCAGGAGGACGCCGCCCGTGTTTCTATGCGCGTCCCGATCCCCAAAGCACGTCACCTCCTCCTCCTCCTCCTCCTCCTCCTCCTCCTCCTCATCGTCATCGTCATCGTCATCGTCATCGTCATCGTCATCGTCATCATCATCATCATCATCATCATCATCATCATCATCATCATCAGCATCAGCATCAGCATCAGCATCAGCATCATCATCATCATCAGCATCATCATCATCATCATCATCATCAATATCATCAATATCATCAATATCATCAATATCATCAATATCATCAATATCATCATCATCAACATCATTTTCATAATCCTCCTCCTCCTCCTCCTCATCATCATCATATTCATCGTCCTCCTCCTTCTTCTCCTCTTCGGGAGGACTCGTAGATTCCAGAGGCACTCCTAATTCCGCAAGGATGTCTCCAAATTCTGTACAAAATAATTGTTTTCAGTGGAATCCACAGGCACTCCATTTTGTCACAAGGCTTCCTTCTAATACGTAGCCCCTCAAAAAATGGCAGTCTGCGAGACTCTGGAGAAGCCCGCCGCTAGCGCCAACATTTCACACATTATACAACGAGCCCGCCGCGGGCGCCGATTTTTCCGTTAAACCACTGTGGGTAGGTCACGGGTGGGCCGCGGGGCGGTCGCAAATGGGTCGCGGTTGGGTCGCGGGTGGGTCGCGGATGGGTCGAGGGGTGGGTCGCTGTTGGGTCGCGGGTGGGTCGCGGATGGGTCGCGGGGTGGGTCGCGGGTGGGTCGCCCAAAACGTACTCGGAGAACGACCCGAGTCATCGTCCGTCGTAGATCATCCTCGCGAATCAGCGACGGTCGACACGGACCATGACTGAGACCGTCGTCGGCAAGACCCAGCGAGGTCTTGGTCGTGGCCACCGTGCTTCTTCTTTGGCCACAATCGCTCGCTGTGCGTCGACCTCCGTAGCGCCCCCTGCGCTGCGGCTGTGGCGATGGCCAGCTGGCTATGAGTGGCGAGGAGATCACGCACCAGAGGCCCCAGTGCGAGCGCTCCTGCAGGGCCCCCCGCAAGCGCAGTGCCTTCTCGCTGTAAGGATGCGGGGTGCAAGCAAGACAGCCGACCAGCAGGTGCCGTCGTGAGGACGTGTGTCACAGACTGGCCTCGTCGCTCTCTTCACAGAACAGTCGAAATCGCCGTTGTGACGTCGGTGTGGAGGGTGAGCATCGCTGGTGCTTCGATTACCGTCGATAGCATTGACACGACGTAGCGTCAGGTCCACGAATTCTACTCCGATCCATTCTAGGGTCAGCCCGTGGGTCAGCCGGTGGGCTAACACCGAGGCTGCAGACTGTCACTGCCTCTCTCTCTCTCTCTATCTCGCTCTGATTCTCGGAGACGAGGGCAAGATGGAAAGGGAAGGCAAAAGAAAAGTGGATGACAAAGGAGGCAGGGTACGCTCCAAGAGAACAAAGTACAAGCAGGCGAAGGAGAAAACAGGAGGTCGAGGAGGAGAGGGGGGATGAGGAGGAGGATGAGGAGGGGAAGTAGGAGGGGGGAGCGGGGAGGAATGAGGGAGCAGGATGAGAGAGCAGGTGGGGAGGAACGATGAGGGAGGAGCAATCAGGAGGAAGGCGAGAAGAACGAGGAGAGTACGGAGGAGCAGGACGAGGCGGTGGAGGGCAATGGGGGAGCAGGGGGAGAACGAAGTAAAAGCTCCTCGTCGTGCTGCGTAGGCCCTGGCGGGAAGTTCCCCACCTCGCTCATGTCCGGGTCTGCCAGACGCCCCCCAGGGGCGTTCGGTTGGATGGCGGGTCTGGCTACCCCCGCTAACGGTTCAAACAACAACTCGTGTCGCGGCCCCACACAGACCTTGCGAATTACCAAAGACGACCGACTCCCAATCGCTCCTGGAGGATGCGACTGAGGAGGATTAGGAGGAGGCGAGGGAGGAGAAGAAGGAGGAGGAACATGACGAGGTGAAGTGAGGATGGGGATAAGCAGGGCAAGTAGACCGAGAAGGGGAAACAGGAGCAGCATGGAAACGAGAAGGGAGAGAACCAAGAGGGGGCGAAGAGCACGAAATCGTAGGACGGAGGCAGGGCAGGAGAACGAAGGGAGGGGAGGAGGTATGCATAGGAAGGAATGGGGAGGGAGGGAGGCGGGCAGAGGTCGGACGGAGGAGCGAGGACCGAGCCGAACCGCGCAGCGCGAAGCGCGAGTAACTTCGCGCCCTCGAAGGCGCCCTTGCTCTCTGTGCCGTGCACCCCCGTCCACCCATCGGCTCACGTATACGTTACGGTAGGTTCGCGCGGCGTCGGCGCGCGCAGAGGTGTTTGACACCGCGTCGATTTGCTGGCTCCTCGCTCTGTCGCAGGGCTCGACCTACTAAACAGTGTGTGCAGTGTTCGTTCTTGGAGGCCGCCTTAGGATCGCGCCGCATCGCCGATGTGTCGCCGGTGCATCGGTGATATCGGCGATGCATCGGCGACTTCGTGCTCCCATGTGCTGTCTTCCCGATCCAAGAAATCCGCGCCAACCGCCGAAAGTTTATGCTTTCACAGCTTTTCTGCCTCGAATCCTCTCCTCGCTCCGCCCTTGCTGCAAAACGAAACCCCAACGAAACGGCCCACGGAATCGCCACAGCACCGCTCCGCTCAGGCCCCGCCCCGCCGCCCGGATCCCCGGCGCGGGCCTCAGGCCTGGCACCCACGTGGGGCCCCAGGCGGGCGCCGGGCCCCTCCGCGAGTCCTCCGAGCCGGGCTCTCCGGGGATCCCCGACCGAGCGGGCAAGCAAGCCGACGCGGATTTGTTTCCCCCCCCCCCCGGCAACGAAAGCAAGACACCGCGGGGCCCCTTTAATCGCGACCCAGGGGCGTGAAGCCCCCCAAACACCTGGCGATGGCCGAGCGTCAAATGCACAATGGTGCCAGTCAGCAAGCCGACGCGGATGTTGATGCGTGCTTCGTGTGCCAAGCGCACGTGCCGTTCGCTCTCCAGGGGCTCTCCAGCCCTGAGGGCACTGCGCAAAGGCATCGGATGAGGCACAGACAAGGCGCCCGCGCGGGGCCCCAGGCGGGCGTAAGGGGGCTCCCCGCGAACCACCCGAGTCGGGCTGTCGGGGGACCCCCCCCACGCCGAGGCGCCAGACCCCCGCCTCAACTGGGTCGCCTAATTTCGCGCATCGCGCCCCGCGATGCGGGAAGCACGGTTGTCGTCGCGGACTCGCGCTCTCGCGCCGCCCCCTTGGAGAAAGGCAACCGCTCTGACCCAGGCCGCGACCCGCGAAGCGCGACTACCTCCGCGCCCCCGCGGGTGACCCGAGTGCCGCCTCCCTTTCCCGACTCCCCCCGCCCCGTCGACCGACCCGACGAGGGCCCCAAACCTGGCGCCTGCGCGAGGCCCCAGGCGGGCGCCGGGGGCCGCCCGCGAGCCACCCGAGCCGGGCTCGGGGGCGCCAGGCTCGACGACGCCGCGACCACCCCTGGTCAGGTCCCACCGCCCCCCCCCCCTGGGCGAGGATGCGGCGGCGCCCTTAGCGTGGCGCGGGCCCTCTTCCTTATCCTCCTCCTCCTCCTTTCCCTCCTCCTTTCCCTCCTCCTTTCCCTCCTCCTTTCCCTCCTCCTCCTCCTCCTCGGACGCATGTCCTCAACGCCTCGCCGTGCCGTGCCTCCTCCCTTCCCCTCGATCCGACGAAGTAGCACTGGAAACGCACCGCTCTAGCAAGCCGCGACACGACAAGGCACGCGCAAGCCGCAGCACACGATCATCATCCGGGTGGCGTCTCTCTGCCGCGCCAAGCAGCTGCGACAGGTTCGTGTCTTGCCGCCTTCGGCGGTGGTTCCTGACACCGCGGGAATCGTTCAACCTGGAACGATCGGTCGCTTCCGAAACGTCAGACCGTTCAACATCGACCGATTCTTGGTCGCCGGCGGCGTCCAAAGCTGTCCCCTGGCGGCGGGGTCGCCGCTGGTCGGCACGACACGAACCTGCTGTAGGGGGCAGCGAGCACCTCGCAAGGACGGGCGCACGACTCGACCTCGCAGTGCACGGCGATCGGCCTGCCCTTGCCTATCAGGGCATGGCGTGGAGGCCGCAGCCTCAAAAATGTGGAGGGAGGATGATGAGGAGGGAGGGAGAGGAGGGAAGAGGGAGGGAAAGAGGGAAGGAGGGAGGAACGGACGGAGGGAGGGAGGGAGGGAGGAGCGGCGGCGAGAGAAATGCACGGCGGCAAGGGAGGCGACGGCCCATCAGATAAGCCCAGCATCCCGGCCCAGACCTCGGGACGAGGAGGTCGGCGGCGTCGATGGTGGAGTAGGCCTCGGTGAGGATGCTGTCCATGCTGGGGCCGATGTCCCCGCCGGTCCGGAAGAAGTGCATGGGGCACGAGCCTTCTGCGGCAACTCTTGGGAGGCTCCCATACCATCTGACTGGCTCTTGCGAATCGACGCTAGAGCGACGCTAGTCGACGCTAAATCGACGCTACCTCATCGATTGCCAGACGCTAATCGACGCTAATGCACGCTAAAAGCGGAAGTACGATGCTTTGCAAGTCTCCCATGATTGGCTACCGAATGAACCTGTCGAGAAGTCGGGCCAGCTGTTGTGGCAGTTCTCGATCCGCACGGGCCTACCAGTCGCATTGAACAGGTCGGCGTAGTAGGAGACGTTGTGGGACGACCCGCATCCGTCGATCTTCACGCCGTCGAAGCCCATGTCCGTAAACCACCTGACATCCACTCCCTCGTGCCCATCAATCTCGACTCGTGCACAAGTCCCAGCGGGGACGGGAAAGGGGAGCGGGATGGAGAAAAGGCAGACCACGCATGGGCGATATTGTTTTGAAGTGGAAACGCCTCTTTGTTGGCTTCCGAGGCACTCGCCTTTGAAGACGCGCTGCAGGCAACGCAGCACGCAGTAGGCAGACTGTTGCCCCGACACGGACACAAGCTTAAGAAACCAAAGGGGGGAGCTGGCGCGATATATGCAGACCCTACAAGGGACTCGTTGACCATACCTCAAGTAGCGACATTCGAACCCTAACCTCACCAACCATCGATTCTCCTGATTAATCGATGGGAGGCCGGGGTGGGGTTCAGATTTCGTCACGTGTTCGACGAATTTCGAACCCTACCCCCGCCGCCCATCCAGTTGCCTAAATCGTTGATCGGCAAGGGTGGGGTTCGGATGTCGCCGCCGACTCAAGAAACGAAAGTGGGAGATGGCGCGATCGAAGCAGACTTTGCAGACTCGCCGTCCGTACCTGCAACTCGAGGCACAGACCAACCAGCAACATGCCGAGATCGGCGGCAGCCCGAGCGGCGGACGTCTGGCGAGGCGCGCAGCCGAAGGCGGCACGAACGCGGAACATCGAAATGATGTGCAGATCGCCGACCACGTCAGCACCCAGGCCTCCAGCGGGGGCGTCCAAGAGTGGGACGTCCAAGAAGGGGGTTCGCAACTCATGGCCCAGGGCATGTTCGCGGCCCCGTGGGGGGCCAAGGGACGCTTGAAGTAAGACGAAGGGCCCTGAAATCTCGGGAGATATCATGGCCCCGGTCATGATATCCTCCCCCCTTCCTGGGCATCACCCCCCTCTTGGCCGCCCTGACTCCAGCGTCTCGTGAAACTCAAGGCGGAAGCTCTTCACAATTTTCGCGACCTCTGAAAGCCCTCGTCAGGCCCCAGGACGGTCAAAAAACGACTCTGGATGAAGAGCCGGCCTTGGGGAGAGGATCCAGACCGGCGGGGGCCCAGTCTTGAGAAACTCAAGACGTAGGATTTTTGGGCCACGCACGCAGCATGTCAGAATGATCTCAAACAGTCGACCACGGTTGTTGCATACCGCTTGCCTGATCGTCCAGAGGGCACCAGGCGGCTTTTTCATTGCAGGTATGTTCGGGGATCGCCGACCAAAACAGGATGAACGAGACGTCACGGCTGGTCCTTCCATCACCGCTTCTGCACCAGAATCCCCGCACATGCGCCACGAAATAACCACATCGTCACTACACATGAACCCCTGCACCGGCACACATTCTGAATTCAGAGGGCGCACCGCTGGATCCCTCAAGGGGGGGGGTCCGTGACCCCCCACCGCCTTTCCAGGGTCCGTCGTCGGCGAAGCCCCCCCCATCCCCGATCCGTCGTCGGTGGACCCCCCCCCCTTCAGAAAAGGAGAGGGGGGGGGGATTCCCCCCGTCCCCCCTTTTGAGCTCGAAATTCGGACCCCGCCCCTCCCCCCTTTCGCCGCGCCGCCCCCTTGGCTCCAGAACCCGATCACTACCACCCCTAACCCTAAACCTAACCCTTACCCTAACCTTTAACCTTAGCCCCTGACCGTACGTAGCACCCCGCAATTGCGGATAAGAGTGAGGGGGCGGGCGCGGGCGACGCGGGCGTCGTCGAGCCGGCGGACCTCGTGGCCCCCACCTTCCTTGTCGATGGCGCCCTCCTCCTCCTCCTCCTCCTCCTCCTCCTCATCCTCATCCTCATCCTCTTCCTCGTCCTCGTCCTCGTCCTCATCGTCATCGTCATCCTCCTCCTCCACCTCGTCCTCCTCCTCCTCTTCTTCCTCGTCCTCCCTCTCCACCCCTCGTCCTTCCATCATTGTCCTCCCATTGTCGTCCTCCCCCTCATCGGCCTCCATCGTCGTCCTCCCATTGTCGTCCATCATCCTCCTCCTCCCCCTCTCCCCTTCTCCCCCCTCCTCGTCACCTCCTCCCCCCTCCTCCCCCTCCTCCCCTCCTCGTCCTCCTCCTCCTCCTCCTTCTCCTCCTCCTCCTCCTCTTTCTCCACATTCTCCTTGCATCCTCTCTTCTTCCGCGTCCTCCTCGTCCCCTTTTTACTCCTCCTGCCTCCCCCTCCTTTCCCAGGATAACGGCAACGCAATCCTTTTTTCCACTTTACGCTCCCCGAACTCTCAGATCAAGGCAACTCGCCAGGGCAAAGTTGCTGGACGGGCTGGTGTGGATGCGCGGGGCTTGAAGAGGTCGCTGCGGGCTCAGACGGCATGCAAAAATCCGCTGCCGCGCTTGTGCGGCATAGGTTTGTTCAGTGAACGTGGTTTTGGTCGCGGGTTCTCCACCTCCACCTGGAAGGAATGCAAAAGCTGCCCGCCGCAGGCGCCGAAAAAATTGGTTTGTACACTGAACGTGGTTTGGGTCGCGGGAGGGCCGCGGGTTCTCCACCGGGAACGAATGCAAAAGATGCCCGCCGCAGGCGCCGAAAAAAACTGTGTGCCCTGAACGTGGTCGCGGGTGGGCCGCGGACTCTCCACCTGAAACGAATGCAGAAGATGCCCGCCGCAGGCGCCGAAAAATGTGGTTTGTACCCTGAACGTGGTTTGGGTCGCGGGTTGGTCGCGAGTTGGTCGCGGGGTGGGTCGCGGGCTCTCCACCTGGAACGAATGCAAAAAAGCCCGCCGCAGGCGCCGAAAATGGTGGTTTGTACCTTGAACGTGGTTTGGGTCGCGGGTTGGTCGCGGGTGGGTCGCGGGGTGGGTCGCGGGTGGGTCGCGGGTGGGTCGCGGGTGGGTCGCGGGGTGGGTCGTGGGGTGGGTCGCGGGGTGGGTCGCGGGTGGGTCGCGGGTGGGTCGCGGGTGGGTCGCGGGTGGGTCACGGGTGGGTCGCGGGGTGGGTCGCGGGGTGGGTCACGGGGCGGGTTGCGGGTGGGACGACGACAACAAACAACAACAACAACAACAACAACAACAACAACAACAACAACAACAACAACACCACCACCACCACCACCAACAACAACACCAACAACAACAACAAACAACAACAACAGCAACAACAACAGCAATTATTCACTGCGTGGTGATCCCCATATGTGCATCTCGTTCCCAAAGAGTCTGCGTGTGAGTGAGTCGGAATGGGAGTGAGTCTGAATGTAAGTGAATCTGGGTATGAGTGACTCTGGGTATGATTGAGTCTGTGTCGGAGTACATCTGAATATGAGTGAGTAGGGGTGTGGCGAGTCTGAGTGTGAGTGTCTGAGTATGAGTAAGTCTGAGGATGACTGAGTCGGAGTGAGTGAGTCTGTGCATGAGTGAATATGACTGTGTGTGAGTCTGTGCGTGAATGAGTCTGAGTATGAATGAGTCTGAGTGGAAGAAAATCTGAGTATGAGTGTATCGGTGTGTGGCAAGTTTGCGTGTGTGTGAATCTGAGTGTGAGTGTGTCTGTTTATGAGCGAGGATGAATGTTAGTGAGTTTGAGTGTGGGTGAGCCTGTGCATGAGTGAATCTGAATGTGAGTGAGACTGTGCATGAAGAAGTCTGCTTGCGGGTGAATCTGAGTGTGAGTGAGTCTGTGCATGCGTGAATCTGAGTGTGAGCGAGTCGGTGTATGAGTGAGTCTGTGCACCAGTGAGTGAGTCTGTGCATAAATGAATCCGAGTGTGAGTGAGTCTGTGCATGAGTGATTCTGAGTGTGTGTGTGTGTGAACCTGAGTGTGAGTGAGTCAGTGCATGAGTGAGTCTGAGTGTGAGCAGGTCTGTGTACGAGCGAGTCTGAGTGTGCGTGAATCTGAGTGTGAGTGTGTCTTTGCATAAGTGAATCTGAGTGTGAATGAGTCGGTGTATGAATGCGTCTGAGTGTGCGTGAATCTGCGTGTGAGTGAGTCTGTGCATGAATGAGTCTGAGTGTGAGTGAATCTGTGCATGAGTGATTCTGAGCGTGCGCGAATCTGACTGTGAGTGTAGCTGTGCATGAGTGAATATGACTATGACCGAGTCTGTGTATGAATGAATCTGAATGTGAGTGAGTCTGTGTATGAGTGAGGCTGTGCGAGAGTGAATCTGAGTGTGAGTGTGTCTGTGCATGAGTGAGTCTGACTGTGAGTGAATCTGAGTGTGGCCGAGGGTGAGTGAGTGAGCCTGAGTGTGAGTAATTGTGACTGTCGGTGAGTCTGTGTGTGGGTGGGTCTGAATGTGAGCGAATGTCAGTGTGCGTGAGTCTGCGCGCGCGTGAGTCTGAGTGTGAGTGGGTCTGGGTGTGAGTGAGTCGGAGTGTAAGTGGTTCTGAGTGGGAGCGAGTCTGCGTATGAGTGAATCTTAATCGCTACTGGCTTCTGACAGAGTCTGGGTCTGGTGAGCCTGAGTGTGGGTGAGTCTGGGTATGGGTACGTCTGAGTGTGCCCGACTCTGAATAAGTGAGTCTGAGTGTGAGTGAGCTTGTGTATGAGTGAGTCTGGATGTGAGTCTGGATCCCAATGGTGCCCCTCGCAGTGTCTGGTCACTAGAAAGCGCTGGTCGACTCCTCTTTGGGAAGCCAAAATGCTGCCCCTGGCAGCGTTTGGTGAGTGTGAGTGAGCTTGTGTATGAGTGAGTCTGGATGTGAGTCTGGATCCCAATGGTGCCCCTAGCAGCGTCTGGTGACTAGGAAGCTCTGGTCGACTCCTCTTTGGGAAGCCAAAATGCTGCCCCTGGCAGCGTTTGGTGACTATGAGGCCCCTGGTGGCTCCCCCTGGGGCTCCCAAATGATGCCCCTGACAGCGTTTTGTGACCATGAGGCTCTCAAGAGAGACATGTTGGGGAGGCCAAACGGCAATTTTAGCTGAGGCGTCCCACCAAAATCGGCGCGAACGGGCTCGTGAGATCAGCCAGGGTGGCTCCCCCTTGGGGCTCCCAAATGATGCCCCTGGCAGCGTTTTGTGACCATGAGGCTCTCAAGAGATACATGTTGGGGAGGCCAAACGGCAATTCTAGCTGAGGCGTCCCAC